GCGTAGTTTGGTTAGAGTAAGATGGACATCCATTTTGTCATTGGTAGTTTGGTAAGAGTAAGATGGACATTCATTTTGTCATTGGTAGTTTGGTTAGAGTAAGATGGACATCCATTTTGTCATTGGAAGTTTGGTTTGAGAAAGATGGACTTCCTTTTTGTCAGTGGTAGTTTGATTTAAAATGATGGACATCAATGTTGTCATTGGTAGTTTGGTTTGAGTAAGACGGACACATGTTTTGTCAGTGGTAGTTTTGTTTGAGAAAAATGGACATCTGTTTCGTCAGAGGTAGCTTTATCATTTTTAGCAGTAGAAAAAAATAAGCTAAATTGTTTGCTACATGTCATATCGCTGGTATTTTTAGCAACGTGTTCGGAGCTGTAGTTTTATTATCAAACATTGCCGACGCAAATCCTGTTTCCCATTTAAAAAAAAAATGACATTCACAACATCACTGACGTCATCATCTGAGACTTCAAATTAAATTTTACGACTTAAATTAATTGAACATTTTGCCTGTAATGGTCCGATAACCATCTCCTCGTTTTAAGGAGAATCAAATTACGTTAATTCAAAATTTAAAATATAGAAGTAATTTTAATACTTTTTGTTAAAACCTTAAAAGACATTTAGCTATGACTATACAGGTAATGTCAATCATATCTATTACATAAAAAGGACGTATCCTTATAATGTTCAATATATTTTTACTTTTTATCAAATAGCACGCTGGGTTAATATATTTTATATTTATAATTCAATAAAGTTATTTAATTCATAGAAAAATGTTTGGGCGATAAACATAATGGACATTTAATAAAATATACGCACCTGTATCATATATACCAGACATTAGACTATTTTAATGATCCAGTTTGCTATTACATTCAGATCAAACCGCCCCAGCTGTTATAATCTACCTTGAATCTAGTAAGTACCCAAAGTATAAAATTCCCCTTACGACCGTAATCAATTTGTACTGAAACATCGTCTTGTATAATTTAACAAAAATATTATTTTCAAATATTTTGACATTTTAGATATTATATGTATTCACTCACGCGTAACCGATAATTTTCTGGTTCATATCTCGCCTGGTTTATTGCAGTTTGTTCGTTTGATTGTGTTCAATCATCCGAGACTGACTGATATTTCTGTGACTTGAGAATCATAGTTTTATCTCAACACTCCGCCTTGATAGACTTTTATAGTGCAGGCATCTTAAAGCAACACATTCACTCCATCTCATTGCCTTTTTTTTAAAGATCTATACTACAAATTACGTAAGTTAGTGGTTTGCTTCAAAAGACGTACATGTGGATATTTAAGTCTAAAAAAGAATCAAAGAAATGCACAGGTGTACATGCCTTTTTATATGGAATTTACGTGATTTGCTTCAAAAGACTTACAAACGAATATTTGAAGTCTCAAAAGGGTAATGAAAATATGCATCCCTAAGGGCTTTATAAGATTGTGAACAAATTTTCCCAAAATATGATAATTAAAAACGACTCTACACACGAATTGACTCGGAAATATATAAATCTCACTGTGAAGTACATGTATTATATAACTTTAAACAATATATTTGTATAGGATAACAATTCTATACAATTCCCCTCGCTTATTGCGAACAGATTTGTGTCTCTACATTTTTCCTTAAAATTTCATTAAACAAATTTCCCTCGATATATCGACAAACGCATTTACAACGCCATATGTTTGTCCGGAAAGTATTGCCAATACTCAGTGTTACGTTTTTGTTTGTTGTCACGTGACCATTTCCGGTTCTATTCTTCAACATATATTATGCAAATGTTTTTAGTACAATACGTAGTTCGTGATATATTACACGCTTTATATCACCTTGTGTTGCTGTAATTGACAATAGATGTCCATTGTTTCAATTGTGACGTCACAACTTCATGACGTCACAGACTTTTAATCGTATTGTAACGACGGAATTACTTAAATGTCAATATTTAAGATTGTAAGTCAATTCCAGTAACATGATTTCACGAATATTTGTGGAAAGCTCTTTGTAATGTGATGAATTGAACTTAAATTCGTTGCCAGTTAATATGAGATTTATGAACTCGCCACGATCCGATCGTTGTGCTAAAATTTCAAATGAAATTGTTTGATACGTTTTATACGATGGGGCCTCGGTGGCGCAATGGTTAAGGTGTCTGACCGTCTATGATCACGAGCCCTGTACCACTGGGTTGCGGGTTCGAGATCTACGTGGAGCAATCGCCAGGTGCTCCGCAGGTCGTTGGTTTTTGTCCATGTACTCCGGTTTTCCTCCACCACCAAAACCTTTTCCTTCCTTAAATGACAATAGCTGCTAGTAGGACGTATAGCACAAACAAACCAAGCCAATCATCTAAGTTCATGTATTACTGACACAATACATAGTATTGATGTTTATAATGCATCGTAATCGGTGTTTAGGATGAAATATATGGTATATATATATAGGTGTTGACATCATATTAAGCAGTGTTAAGATATATTTTCCCCCTTTTACCTCCTTTCCTCCTGCTTTTTAGACAGCAACTGTCTTGATTTAACACATTTTTTATGAATGATTAGTTTATTTGACCTATGCATATGGTCAAAGACATCATTTTGATCCTAAAAATGTCTTAAAAATGAAAGTCATTTAGTTCGAGGAGGCGAGTATTTAGCATTGTGTAATTGAGTAAAATCTTTGTATGCGGGTTGAATCAGCCTCGCTAACAAAGGCAGCAAGCTGTTCTCTGTTTCGATATTTATCTTAATTTGGAACAAAAATTAGAGTTTGTTTCCCCTCAATCCTAATTTAAACTACGTGCCTTTAAACACTCCATTTTGAGCAATGTTCCAGATTTGTTGCTCAAGATATGATCTCAAAATATGCAGCGTTTTTATAATAGATTGTTCCCGCCACAGCCTGATTGTTATGCACAGTTATACAGGAAATGGATGCGTGTATGCGTTTGAGCACGCATCATAGATCTAGATCTCGTGTAGATATATAAATATCTTTGAATCGAGAAAATACAGGCTATAAAGCACTGCTCTACGTACTTGCTAAAGACATTGAGATGCATTTACAATTTCATCCCAGAATTATGGAAAGAGTGTTGTTCCGGAGACAAAAGTGCACCAGATTTTCTATACATCTTAAGAAATCAATATGCAATTCATTCATATTTGTGAGATATAATTCATTTTTTTATAAATTTTCATGAACATCTACATGAATGTACAACGAAACCTGTCTTTACCGACACCTGATGATAACGACATCCTGTTTCATGTGACATGATTTTATGACTCCAAGACGACTTTTTTTGTCTTTGACACTGATTATACCGACACACTGCCCATTCCGACCAACGTATCTGCTTGTCCTTGATGTACATTATGTAGTTAACCAGAAACAGATTTGTTGATGTATTTAACATTGAATATAGCGACACTCTGTCCAAACGAACCAAACGTTTAAGTTTTCATTGATTCAGTTAACGCCAAAACGATTCCTTTAAGTCTTTAACACTGAATATACACTGCCATTCCGGTCACGTATCCAGTTCCCATTGATGTAGTTGATCCCCAAAGGACAGACTCTCTTCTCTGTTGTTAACACTGACTTACCGACACATTGTCCAATCCGACCACAGGATCCAGTTCTCGTTAATATATTTGACCCCAAAAAGATGTCTTTATGTCTTTAACACTTACTTTACCGACACACTGCCCAAACCGACCAAAAGATAAAGTTCCCATCGATGTAGTTAACCTCCAAAAGACAGACTTTCTTCTCTTTCGTTTACAATGACTTTACCGACACTGCTAAATCTGACCACAGGATACAGTTCTCATTAATATCATTTGACCCCACAAATATTTCTTTATGTCTTTCACACTTACTATACCGACACACTGCCCAATCTGACCAAAAGATAAAGTTCCCATCGATGTAGTTAACCTCCAAAACCCAATCTGATCACAGGATCCAGTTTCCATTGGAGTCGATAAAAATATTACTACAACTCTGTTATTTATAAATCAAATATATTCTGAGATATGAATTAATATTTTTGATTCATTTATTCCAGTATAATAAAGTTCCATACTTATTTTGTTTCTTCAACACAGAACGAAGTATTGGTGTTGTATTTTAAGATATGTAAGTTTAAATTGTGCGTGATTATATCACAGCCTTTACAAAATCTAACTAAAGAGTCTCCTTGTCTAAATGTCATTTCCGAATGCGTGGGCAGTTGATATTTTAGAGTTTTAACAAGAAAATTTAATATTCACTTGTGAATAATTGTATGCGTGTTTCTAAACATCTTTCTGTCAGTGTATATTGTTTAACCTTTCCTAGTAATGTATTTACGAAAATGAGTAATCAGTACGGAAGTGCACGCTCAAGGAAACACTCAGACTTAGGTTACCCCGATATCGCTGTGTATATAAACTTAAGGCTGTAGAGCATTAACTGTTAAGATTATATAAAATACTGCAGATAATCACTACAATGTTTTATTTCAATTTTCATCTATCAATGATTAATAATTTCAATATTTTTATGTCGGGATTATACTATTTCGATATATTTTTCATTTCTTTTGAATCGTTTTTTAATTCAAAATTTACCATAACACGGAATAGTGTACATATTCAATGGAATGTCTTGTGATCGGACCTGTGGGAGCTGGCCATGGGTGATTAGTGTATAGTGTGCTCTCTCATAATAAACCTTTTCTTTAAAATTATAATAACTGACCAAGCAGGTCAATCGCGAAATCGTTTAAACTAATTCCCTTTTACAAGTGCGCTCTTTAATAAACTCAACATTGATTAGAATCATGTGTAGCTGTATTTTTCTTTTTAAAAAATCCATGAGATTTTGTAAAGCGTATTGAGATTGTAGCTGGTAGTGTTGTGGGGATTTATAAGATACGGGTGGATGTGGTACAGTGCGGTTGGCCACACTTGGTTGGGATTGTATAGGACTCGGTTAAGACACGCGCGTTCTTCCCCCTCCCCGTGATCAGGCGCTAGGAACGACTGTTTGTGCACCTCGGTTCTACAGTAGTAGCCTGTGTGTTCACTGAACGAGCGGTGTCGCTCCAATCAACGTACTTATATATACTAAACAGCTTCGTTGTGTATATACTGTTATAACTTGTCCTACGCGAACGTAACTTGTGCAGTGAGGAACCAACATTTTACTGAATGGAAAACTAAATAGTTTAAATCGCTCACACACCTGCCTGGAGATCCAGGTGAGAGAGGAGCTAGTGAACATGTGGGGTATGTTCGTAAAACGCAACGTTTACCTGTGTCGGCTCTCACAGGTGTAAAAGTGATACACACATCATATGTACCTGACGGGTGGATTTTACGCCATAATTTTCGTCTTTTAATAGAAAAAATATATTTGTGAAGATAATTTTCGATTCGGAATACATTTATATATATGTTGGATGAAAATTCAACGCTGTAGCTAAGCCGAGATGACAGAATTGTTAATTACGTGAGAGCTAGGGGATCAGTGTGGTATAATAGTGTCTCCCTCCTTGTGCTATATGCTATAACAGTGTCCCTTTGGAATACACAGAGCAGCTATGATTTAAAATCAGTGTCTTCTAAACAGCGGAGCCGCTTTCTGTAAATCCCGGAATCCATCGTTTCGTTATTTTGATATTACACATGGGAATGTGTAGTGTGTTTTAAGGCGGGATTCGTCACGGAGGAGGAAAAGGGAGTAAAAGTTCGAATAGAGAAATATTAATTTTCTCTCTAAATTTTAAATTCATTTCCACGCGAAGGATTATTCGATTATGAATATGGATTACAATTGGATCTTAAGAACTTTAATAGTATTATTTCAATTTTCCTGGCACTTTTGTGTGGAATTAAATGCAGGGATGTAAGTATAGAAATTTATTTACTGTTGTCGTATATTGTGTATGTCTTTTTACCTGTGCAGGTAGACAATATTTACATATATGCCTCATATCTTGTCTTCTGCATGTGTATATATACGTATGAGTATCAATGTAAAATGAATCTCGGGGTTTACATATTGTAGGTAGCGTTTCGTTTTTCGTGTTATATTTCACAGGTGTGTTACGAAAAACGTTAGATATTCACATGATCATGGTATGTTAGTCGGTAATTAAAATGCACGTGCATGATTATTCCCGGTTAAACGATAATTAGTAAACAAACAGTCCCTTAAGGTGAAATGTGAAACAAACATTTAGTTGTATTTCAATGATAGTAAGCGACACCGTGGAATTGTCATTCGAACGACATAAATGGCATACCTGTACTTAATTACAGGTAGATATACCTGTACGTAGACGGATACACACCTGTATTAAGTTCAAAGAAGATATATAGCTTTACTGCTAACCTTCTTATGTCATGTAATTCTAGAATTTATATCAGGATTGTAAACTTAAACAGCTGAAACATTTTAAATTGAATATAACATGCTAAGAATGTGTTAGACATATATTTTGACTTACTAGTTTAAGGAATTTACTGGTAATATATGTGCATGTATACACACACACACTGGCTGCAAGTGCACGAATTTGTAAACTTTATAATTATCTCGTTATCAAATACACATTATGATAACTATATTCAGATAAATATTTGAATACATTTTAAAAATTATTGTTCCATACCTGTATGGTATTTGACAATATATACCTAAATATAAACACTAATAATGAGCTATGTCATATTAACGGGACAGGTGTATTGTGTAGTTTTGTTCTGGCGTTCTTTCTATACCTGTACACATTTTACACAGCCCTGTTTAAACGGCGGTAGCCCAACATGCAGGTAAACTTTTAAATCATTCATCATATATTTCAAGCCCTTTTAAAAAATTAGCGTACGGCTATATATATGTGTGTATGTATTATCTATAAAAGGCCGGACTATTCGCAATTAAAGTCAGTTTATTAGCGGCTAATTATGTCTTGCTCGGCCATTATTTTCAGACGTATATTTTCTCGTCTCAATAGCGAACTTGAAACCCAAGGGGCACTTGACAGAATGCAGTAATGCAGTATTGCATTTCAATTCGCTGCCCCTTATCAGAGAGCGCTATCGCCTGTCTGATGTAAACCTTTTCTTTTCTTCGCCTCGCCAAAGTAATAAATCTTCTAGTGATAATGATTTGCAAACAGTTTTTTGGACAAAACATAGTGACTCTGCGATTCTAGGGTTCTCCGAATAAACCTTAGTCATGCTGAATGGCGACTGGACTATATAAACGATAACGTATCCATTTATTTATATTTATATACTCAAATGTTTTGGGGTTTTTTATCATTTACATAACGTATTACGTCACCTATATTTCTTTGAAATTAAGTATTATACTCATAAATTCATATACAGTTTAAAATAAATATGAAATGTTATCGGCCTTTGGGTATATGCACAGCGGTACAATGTATATAAAATGATATCGTATTTCCATTGAAATCTAGATTATTTGATAAAATTTAACAATTCACACGACCACTATATTAAGATGTTAGCATATGATAAAACATTGCAACATAACACATATTGACGTATCACACCCTGTAATGAACACTTCTGTTAAACTTACAAAACCTAAAATATTTAATAAATATTATTTTTTACATTTATGCGGATTATTTTTGGATTACTTGAAAAAACTGAGATTTAAAATATAAAATTTAAACAAATTTATTATCTACATGTATATATGTTGCTACCTTTTTTGTTGTAAACTTAATTTCTTTCATAATACAGACATTTATATTTCATTTTTCATCAAATTATTGCTTTGAAACATAATCCGGAAACAAAATAATACCGTTTTTACCCATTCTTTTTTTTTCAATTGAAAACGTGTTGTATTTTATTTATTTATGTTTTATTTTGACGTTAAAAACTTGGCACGATGATATAAGTATGCATATCACTAAATAGATCACGTATTTCTACTTTAAACGTGAAACACGTGTGCAGTATTTTATTCAAATGTCACATAGAAACGACCATAGCTAATATATAATGCTGATTTTAGCCTCGTGTATTTAAGGGACTAAAGTATGCGTCTAAATCTTCATCCAGACCCTTCGCTATATATATTTTTATACACACAGCTGAGCGCCTATTGATAGTGCTATTGTAATTTTTAAAGATATTCAAAAATCATGGACCGTAAAAAGGCTCTACAGTGAGTGTAATCTTTATCATTGTCCTAACATCATGGGCAGACTATTTAAATCTTATATGATACCTCTGTGATAAGTTAAATTTCGAATTTGATTTTAAAAAGATGTGTAAGGAAACTACTGAAACACAGAGTACTGTACCTCCTTGGCCACCGTGGTAGATATTTTAAAATCTTTGTACTTAATATTAAGCATCGTACTCCCTCAGTCAGGTATAAGCTATATATAAGTACAAAAAAAGGTGTTTTCTCTCTGAGCTATGTGAAACACATTCGAACTTTCTCACCTATGTGAAACACATTCGAACTTTCTCAGCTATATGTGAAACACATTCGAACTTTCTCAGCTATGTGAAACATATTCGAAAATACAACTACAAAATAAGGTTATACTTTCTCAGCTATGTGAAACATATTCGAAAATACATGTACTAAATAATTGTTGTTCTTTCTCAGCTATGTGAAACATATTCGAAAATACAAGTACAAAATTATGTTGAACTTTCTCAGCTATGTGAAACATATTCGAAAATTCATATTCTAAATAATTGTTGTTCTTTCTCAGCTATGTGAAACACATTCGAACTTTCTCAGCTACGTGAAACACATACAATGTATTCGAAAATACAAGTACCAAATAATGTACTTTCTCAGCTATGTGAGACAAATTCGAAAATTCATACACTAAATAATTGTTGATTGTTGTTCTTTCTCAGCTATGTGAAACAAATCCGAACTTTTCAGCATCGTGAAACACATTCAAACTTTCTAAGATATGTGAAACGCATTCGAACTTTCTCAGCTATGTGCAACATATTCGAACTTTCTCAGCAATGTGAAACATGTATATGTACTAATTTTATTTCTGCTACAAGCTCTTTCATAATTACAAAATACACGTAAGTGTCGTACTTTCTCAACTATGTGATATAAATTCAAAAGTTCATGTTTTGAATAATAAATTCGGTGTTGTCTCCCTACGCGTTCGTCGTTAAATGACAGTATAGTTGTTGCGGGGACGTACCCTGTAACACAGAACTTAATATTAAGCGTTTTATTCCCTCATTCCTATCGAAGTTATTCAGAAGTACAATATAACTACTGTACGCTTTAGCTAATATAGATATATACCAGATATTCAGAAATACAAACACTAGTACTGTACCAAGTACTAACTCTTATGGTACAATTCTTAATAAGAACAAATAAGTTTAAAAATGACACGTATTTGAATAGATCATATTCAGAAATATAAGCGTTATATAATAATTTAACTTGGTCTAAAGGGACCATGTTTATTTTAAAAATACATACATACTTGAAAAACTGTTAATGGGGGGGTATTGGAAATAAAGAAAAATCACAAGTACATGTATGTACCTCTTTTCTACGGGAGATGAACAAAACTGTCCCCCTCAAAATGCGTTTTGTTAAAAATTATATATCCAATGTTTTATTTGTGTGTGTTTCCCCAGAAATACATTGTGCAAACATTTAACATCATCATACAAGGATACGTGCACCATGATACCCCTCGACAGGAAATGGTGTAGGAGTTGAACCCGATTCCACCAGCACTTTCGGTTTCATCTGATATTGGTATAGGCCAGCACCTTATATCTATGATACTATCATGGGGTTTTACTTCTGATAATATCATGAGACTGAATACCGTGTCTCTGATTCACGAAATAGAACCCTTTATTCGAGATAAATATTGATTATATTATGAGATAATACCTTTTACTCCGGATAATATCAAAGGATAATACCTATACTCCAGATAATATCATGATACAGACACCCGACGCCGGTTATTATCATGAAAAAGGTACCCTTTACTCCTGATAATACCTTTTACTCCTGACGACATCATAGAATTGTACACTGTTTTTCTGATTCACGAAACAGAACTTTTCACTAGAAATAATTTGTAATGATATTTTGGGATGATACCCTCTACTCCGGATAATATCATGGGATTACCTCTCACTCCTGCAGCTATCTTCGAATTGTACACTGTGACGCTTATTCATGAAGTAGAACCCTATACTTGAGATCATTTCTATAATTATATTATGAGAAGATACCCTCCACTCCTGATAATATTGTATACTCGGAACATCTTGTTATATCACGTACGCTCTTCTGCTTTTCTTCATGGATAGTACCAATGTACTTCTGTTTTCCGGTCCAAGACATCTGTAGCTATGCATTTTATGCAATAATAATCCGCTAGTAAATTGCTGTCGAATTGAGGCTTAACGGTAGTAGCATGCTCCTTAGAAAACGGTCTGGTTAGCTTGCAAGTTTCAAATTCAATTTTCACTTATGAAAGTTCGTCACCAAAATAACTCGTTTTATTTTTTTCTTACGATATTGAGTGGGTTTAGGTGGTAGTAGTTACGAGTTGAGTGTGTTTTCGGTGAAAGTTGAGACAATACCGTGTGCACTGTATCTAAATGGACTTGATGAGAGCGTACAAACAAACCATCGTCAAGCATTAAGTACCATCCTGGCTACTTTTATTGCTGTGTCTGTCCTTCGAATCTGTTTCAGTCAATAAGAACGAACCACCAAATTGGAAGAATTGGAAAGAATCAGGGCTTTTTACTAAACTTTAACAATAGATTCGCTTCTAAGTATTTCGTTGGAAAATATGTCACAAGCAACACAATTTGTATAAGTGCACAAGC